AAGAGGAGACAGAAGTTTTGTCAGGGTTGATTTTTTCCGAGATTTCTTTGTTTTGTCCTTCACTGCACTTTGTTTCTTTTGTCTTAAATACTTTTCACGACAACGATCACATATCAGGTACCAACTACTGCCTCCCATGCCTCCATCACCACAGTTCCCTGCCCAGCCTCCACAAAAATTACCTCCACTATTGTACCCCTTGCCACCTGCATGGTCCCCACACCCTGGGTGAGCCTGACGCATGTGATAAGTAACAGGGTGAGGAAACAACTGACCACATAGTTCACACATTGTCTCTTTCTCGACTCCGCCCACAGGACCACCGCTTGCCTCACCAAACAAATTACCACGTACAGGTCTATTCTGTTTAAACTCTTTCTTTCTTAATTTCTTATCCTTCTCTGGTTCAGGTTTTTCTTTTTCTGCTCGCTGAAGGACCTTGGCTGAGCCCATTGGTCCAGGAAATATGAGCTGTTGGTTGATGGCCCTCTGGCTGGCAGCTGATATATGTTCCCATAAAATTACCATATTTTGCAAAGACTGTGGTAGTTCTGTGTTCCTGGATGACTTGGAACCAGTACCACATGAGGTGAAAGTTCGAACACTACTTTGGGTTTGTTGTTCTTTGGAAGCTGTAGTTGCAGGAGAGTCCATTTCCTCTGTGATCGGTGCTGAAGTTTTTCGCATTTTGTTTTTATTGATATTAGCATTAAGTGGTAGTTGAGTCAAGGCTTCAAGAGATGAGGGTTGAATATTAAGCAGATTGTGTGCTGAAACTTCAACAGAGTGTCGAAATCGTGCTTTCTGTTCTTTAGTCAGAGACCCACCTTCCTTCCTATTCTTGGTGTCGCTGCGTGACCTATAGGACAGATGTTTGGACAAATTTGGATTGAACTTCAGAAAAGAGGCACAAGCCATGGCATCATGAATGATGCCCTCATGCCATAAAAATGCAGCAAACACAGCACGCAAACATTCTGCAACTGAGGGTGACACAGCTTCTTTAACTGGTTCTTTACTTGATGACTTCTCTTTAGGTCCTTTTTCATGACTCAGAGAAGCTGGAGAATGGGCCCTATCTCTCTTGCTTCGTAGTTGTCTAGAACCACGCTCTTTACGAGACATCTTGGGGGAGAGGCGTGGCAATTCTTCTTTTCCACTTTTACTACCAATACTAAAATGACTTTTCACACTTTCATCTGGACTTGTCTGTGTGCCTGCTTGTGTTACACACTTAGTGCTTGGATTTGTAGATACTTCCTAGAGGAGGAAACAACATAAAAAATTATTAATTTCATTTAAGACACAATCTTAGTGAAGAAAATCTCATTCAAATTATTTCAACATTTATGCCATATATACTTATTCCAAATACTTTCAAGATCTGAAGAAATATGGAAATTTGCTTGTATATAATTAAACCAATTTTACTGTATAGCCTTTAACATTAGACCATAAACAAACACTAACAAAGTTAACCAACAAGAATTAAAAAATAAACCACATTAAATTTTTCTATAAACTGAAGTAACAGTTATATTACTTATCTGTGAGCAAAAGTAATTATGAAAAACTCAATCAGTAATTTAATATATTTCAAGTTATCTATAGTTCCTATAATCATATCTTGTAAAATTCAAAATGTTTAAGGCATTTCGATAAATTTCTATGGTCCCAATCAACGTGTCTAGCCTTGGCATCTAAAAACTGATCAGTTTTTGGCGATGTTTTCAGTAAGCTACAAAAGGGCCTGAAGTATAATTTCTTTAAAGTTCTCTTCCATATTGCTAGTAACTAAGTATACAGTATGGTTAAAAAATAACCTTTAGGTTCTAGTACTAGTTACATTCTAAATGCTCATTTAAGGTCAATAAATTAATTAATTACACTTAAGTTACTTTAAAATCTTAACCACCTACACTGTTATCTGCCTTGACCCTTAACAAACCTGTCTACAAGTCAGTATATATATCTGAAATATAAACCTTAAACAAACAGTTCTTATTAAATCTGTTTTAGCAATAAATTAATATGTTAAAATATTTTGCCAATTACAGCTGTTAATTACCAAAATGTTCATTTTTCTTGATTATAAACATTTTGTACACGTCAAGTATGGTTATTTAGTTAACAATTTTCTAACTCAGAAAAAAATAATATCATTAGTACATAATACCTGTGCACATGGAAATTGTGTATTTAATCAAAGCCATTAAGCATGAATAAGATAATATTCCAAGTTTTTACAATAAAGGAACTAAAATTAGGTTACAATCTGGTCAGACATACTGAGAAATGAAAATATCACAGTTTTTAAATATTCTAAAGATGGATAGCGTGTGCATAATATTATTCAGACAATAAACTGGATATCTACACATACAATTAGGGCAGTTCTGGTTTGAATATCTTGTTTACCATCTGTTGTGATTTTTCTGTCCAATGTGTTTTTTTAAAATTATAAGAATCTATATTAATAAATCCAATAGTTTTAACCTTTTTGGGTGTTCCTGGAGTTCCCGGAGTTGTTCCAGGTGTGCTAAGTGGACTTATAGTGTTTCTTTGGGTTATACAACCCATGCAGCCAGTAGCAGAACTGTGAGACAATTCCCGCAAAATACTTCCAAGGTGAGAACTGACACTGGAATCACTATAAAACAAACAAATTATCACAAGAGTGAAGGAAAACTACACTATGAGATCAAAAGCTTCAATTATGTTTTTCTTTTTTTCTCTTCTTCAGGCTTTTCTATTTTCAGATCATTTGGGTTAAAAAAAATGTTAAAACCTCTAACAATCTGCAAGATGTATTAATTTTTACCAGTGAATCTCAGGATGCACATTTATCAATTATATGACACTAATTTTTATCTCAGTCTCCTCATTGGTTTATCAGTGGTTTTTTCATTTCATGCAGAATGATTTTCTAAAATCATTTACTATTAAAGGATGTTTCGTTTACCATATCTTTTCTCGTGATGGTAAAAAGTAACCATGAAATTGAGGAGTGCTGTTATTAAGAATTACTTACTTTAAATTTAACATTAATAAACCAACCTATAAAGTGATCCTCTGTGAGGAGTTGCTGTCATTATCAAGGATTAGTTATTTACATTTAACACTAATAACTCTCTCTACATCGAATTGACCGACCATGTGACCACTTTGTACTCATTTAAAGTCTTTATACTTTTGATACTACCAACTTTTAGTATAGTATGTACATCTTCACAAAATTTGGTAGTCTTTCAGTGAACAATACAAGTCTGTCACATACAAAAAATCAGATTTTTAGTGAACTATTTTTAATAAACTAAAAAAAGATTTGTCCATGAATGTATCAAGTCCTTTTTTTACTAGTCCGAGTGCAGGGACTTTCATGTTAAGATTAAAAATAATTTTCTTCACCTCAAACATCTCAAATTTCATTTGTGTAATCCCTAAAACCTCCTAAATACATTTCAAATGTTTGTTTTCAGTAAAACTTTATATTTTATCTGTTATTTTCTCTACTCTAACTCTATACAAGGTTGACCACCCTCATAACCACCAAAAAAAATCTAAATAAACTAAATCACCCTTTTTCTTCTTTCTAGAATGATTCAAATTGTAACATGAAACTACATTTGTTTATTCTAAGTAGCTTTCATCTCATAACAGCATACATCTATTTATAGTTGAATTTTATTG